AACTTCAGCTTTGCTTGTCTTTCCAGTCAGTGCCTCATTTGCGAGGAGGACGACTGCTTAGTTCCCATTTTTGATCCGTTCTTCTCATACCTGTTGTAATGCACAAGTAAATATAGTACTTGTGCATTACAACAATACCTTTTTTCCTCAAAGGAACTGCCCTTTCTCTGCACAGTTAGTATGTTCTCTCCTCTACTGACTTGAATAATGAATGTTCCTCTACAGACTGACACCACACTGATTCCCTGTTCTCTGTCTGTCCAATAGCAGAGAACAGAACGGTCAAGGTGATATGAGCAGAGAGCTTCTTCCTGTAGATGGGATGACTGCAGCCTTGACTCACGCTATCATCTCACATCTCTCTGCCTCGAGTTTGTTTTTCCTGTAATCTTTCGAGTGCGTTCCATCTCTGTGATAGTCGACACACACGCACACAAAACCACATATAGATATGCACATCAATACATGCGTACGCACACACCAGACAGATGGTTGGAGCTCTGCTCTGACAGAGGCCAAAGCACAGGGCACCTCCACTCTTCAAAGTCTCTGAGCCTCTCTTCTCACTGCTTTTTTAAATGCCATCTGTACCCAGGCAAACTAATGCTACTTAAAACAAGGACATTGCATTTTTTTTCCTGCCTCTAATTAGAAGCCAGTAGGAAGTTTCTTTCTGTCTCTGCCATATTAAAAATCTCTTGGAAAGGCAAGTCTAATAATTTGATACTCTTGGCACATAATTGTACGTCAAATAAAAATAAAAGGAGGGGAGATGGGAAAACAGAACACTGGAAAACAACAAGATTTTGCGTATGCATGCGAGCACTGGTGCATGCATCTGCCAGAGTGGGCCTGCTTACAAGAATACATTGTGCTAGATGGATGTGTGTGAGAGACAGAGAGCTAGAGAAAGAGAGAGAAATTCTGTATGTGTGTGTGTGTTTCATTATCCAGCAGCCAGGTTTCTCACCTCACTTTTTTCTGGTCCCTCAGAGGAGCAGTCATTTCTCTCTGTCAGTCAGTCAGTGTTTGGGGAAATGATAGTGGGTTTTAGAGAAAGAGCGGCTTTGTTTGGGAAGGAGCAAGCAAGAATAGCACTGTTTCCTTTCATCATCATCCTTTTTCTGTCACCTCCTAACATTCTCCTCTATTACCTTTTCTCCTTTTGTCCTTTCCTTCCTTACTTCTCATCCCCCCCTCTTTCCCTTTCTCCTTTTCATTCCGGTCTTGCCCATCCCCACGCCAAGCGCTCGCTTCTCATCCCCCATCCTCACTCCTTCTGTTTCCCCCTCCCCGGACTGAGGCAGCGTGTTATTAGTAAGGCAGCCAATGTGCCTGTCGGTGTGTGTTAGAGAGAGATAAGCACAGGTAGAGAGAGTTACATAAGCCTCTGTTGATTACTGTGGAGGAGAGGGAGAGCAAAAAAAGAGAGTAAGAGGTGAGAGAGAGTGAGAAAGACCGATTGGTATACCTTAGTAAGTACATTGTGCTCTAATGTTGCCTGTATGGCTGGCTGGTGGGTGATAAGTAGGCCTAGGCTTCTGGGGCTGGTTGAAAGGACAGTCATTAGGTTGGACTTCGTAGACTGGCAGCTTGCTTCATAGATTGCGAGTTTGTTTTTGTTACTCTGTTTAACGGGAGACAAATAAACCTTTCTCAAGGTTTATTACATTAATATGGCATGACAGAGTGGTAAAAACAGAACAGGTGCATGGATTTAAGAAGCTGTTTTTATCTTTCTTAAAAATACCTGCATTGTTTTTCAAGGCTCGTTATATTCTACCAATTTTCACCAAGGAGCAAAACCGGTAAAGAAGCAATGCTGCTACGTATTATCTGTTCGCTTGTTCGCCAGTATTCTCTACAAAAGTTAACATTTTAACGATCCGTGCTATTTGATTGGATCGTCTTTCTTTCCTATCATAAACACGGGCATTGTATTTTATTTTGACCAAATCCTAAATGTGCCATACTGCTGCAGTAAGTACTAACTAGCTTTCCAGCATGTATTAATCAATTGCTGAATATAATCCCCAACAATTACAATCTTTTAGTCCTCTCTTAGTAACACTTTCTAAAAACTGCATAGCTCTGCTGTTTTAGGAAAATGCTCTGTGCTTTATTATATATTTGTGACGCAAACCCTGGAAGAAATGGGCTTGGGGCTCTGTGTCACAGTCGGGGTGGGAAGGTTGAAAGCTACGAGAGACTTTGGGTATTTTTTTAATTAAATTTTCTGAAATAAGGAAATCAGAGAAATGTAATCTTTATCATTTCACGAGGCGGTGGAGATCTAACAGATGTTGAAGTGAAGGCTGTCTCACTGCAACAGTAATTGGATTCAGAACGCATTTCACATATTGACACCCCAATGGGATGTTGGGTGAACTTCGTGACGCGGCAGTACTTTCACTATTAGACGCACTGAGGAATTATGAGAACTCTAAAATTTAAGGCTTGTCAATATTTTTGCTGTGAATGTCGCAAAACCCATTCATTCTGTTTCATTACATGATCTGTGAGCATTCTTGACTGAACAGAGCCAACAGGCACAAGTACAGCATGTGCACACATTTTGCTCAGTAGAATTATGGGTGATGAGGTTTCCTGCCAACCAACCTTTCTCACCTACTTACAATGCTACTGTGCAACCTCAAGGACAAGAGACAACAGAATACACACACACACAAATCTTTTCTCTGTCTCGCTCTCATATAAACACTGCGGTTTGGTCACGCTCCATCGAAGATGGTCATGGACACCTCCAGTCCTCTTTCCGCACTTCATTCTTAATAGCACCTCTTCAAGTCATCACATAAGTATGTGCGTGCACACGTGAATGGGTGTTTGTGTGTTTGTGTCGGGCCTTCATCTGTATGCCAAGCGTTTGTCTGGAGGCCCTCCAGCAAGAACCGGCTTAGAAGGAGCTCAAGGCCAAACAAGTGTGAGGATTAAAGGACGAATAGAGTCCTCTCTTCTGCACTCATCTCAGTGGAGGAAGTGAATGAGCAGTGCTCTCGTCTTTCTTAACTACCGCTGAGGTGCCCTTGAGCAAGGCTCTCGGAGTTGCCAAGCGCCTTATAGAAAAGTAGGGTTATTGCAGTTATCAAAGTAAACTAAGGCATGGGCATATTTAAATGCCCAGCGTCCATTAGTGAAAAACTGTTATTTACTATACCTCAGAAACAAACGCACTGTTCCCCACTTTTCACACAACATATGCATGAGAACAACTGTAATATGTAAAGAAAGCTGTAGGAACAACAGAGGCTGTTGTTTACACTATGTACATCCCATTAGAATTGCTCGTTTTCCTGCTTCTATCAAGCTAATTAAAATGTGCAGGTACAGAGTTGGCACAAATGGAAATAAGGGAAGAGAATTTGTGAAAGGCTGTCTGGGGAGAGGGAGGTAGAAAGGTTAAAAAAATGAGAATTTAAAAAAACATTTTTATGAAGTAAGAGTTAATGAGTTCAACCACCAGACATAAAGAAAATGCTGTGGTTCAAATCTGAGCCTCGCAGTGCTTTTTATTCGGTAAAGACTCTGAGGTAAGAGGTTTCTTTGTGTATAAGTTCTAAAGTCAGAAGGTTGTTGCTTATATAGTTAAAAAAAAAAAACTTTTCAGAAAAAGTAAACAAATTATGTTAGACTACAGAGAGCAAATTAGTTTTGAAAATGATTTTTATATTGCCATTCTTTCACAAGTCATGTTTCTGCTGCTGCAAAAGGACACTGATCACCACAGTTTGCAGTAATTGAGCTCCTTTTGTTGTGGTGACAGTTAAGAAAATACTTCCAGCACGGTATTTGAAAGAGGCAAGAAAATTGCAGAGAATATGCAAATCAGTTACCTGAAGAAAAATAAAAATAGAGAAAGAGACAGAGACAGAGAGAGAGGGAAAAGCACAATGCTGTAAATCCAGAGTACAGTCACATTTATGTATTGGTTTAAATGTTTAAACTGGATTTCACCTTATTAGAAGATAAGTAATTTTTAATGAATGGTTTGCTTTCGTAGAGCGTTTTTATCTTTCTGCTTGGCTGGAAAGTAAATAACCTTCTGGTGCTCGTCTTTGGAGAAAAGAAAAGAACAAAAGGAGTGAGATGGTCAAGGTGCTTAACAGAATGAGAATTCAGGGGAGCGAGTACCGTGAGACGAGCCAACAGGAAGTAGCGGGCTGGCATGAACAAAATGTGGAATAACAATAAGGAGTGCCTTTTAAGTGTGTGAGAGAGACTGCACACAATGATGCTCATACACAACATTCCCCTCTTCCTTACTTCCTCTCTTTTATTCAGCCTCAGTCACATAGACATGCCTGTGTGCACACGGTATTATGTAAATAGTCTCTTCGGCAGAGAGCTGCTGTCACTGCGCGAGCATCCTCTGGGCCATGCAGGCAGCCTCATTAAAACAAGGCACAGCATCCGTTAATAGATACACATATGTACACATATACGCATGTACATGTACACGTATAGAGATGCACACTTCTTAATACGCACAATGCACCAGTAAAGGACCCACCAGGGGAGCTTCCCTAAATGTTCCTCTCAGGTGGCAGTCAAAAATATCGCCACGGAAACAGCTCAAATGTCACGGAGAGCGGTGCATGTGGAGGGCGTGCAGGGGTGACTGCGACTGGAATGAGCGTAAGAAAAGACGTGACTTTGTGGCTTTAAACACACTCTGGGTCAGTGCCACAGTGTGTGTAGCTGGTGTGTATGTGTGGGTATGCCTGTATTTGTGTTACTGTTAGAGTACAAAGCCATTTGCATTAAAAATACTTTACAATTTATTACTTTTTTTGCTTCTTTTACACTGTGGAGCATGATGTCATTGTTTATTTGTGTGGGATCTTTAAATAGGAGTACTTATCATGTGCAAAAGTAAGAGTGCTACTCAGCAGCACAGACATCTTTTAAATATATAGACAGTAAACCTTTGTCTGATACCTGTAAAGTAAAAGGGGCCCCTGTTTGTTTCTGATCTGCTGGCCCCGCAGGTGGCTCCAGAGGTGTTGGCTTTATCCGCTTTGATAAGAGGATAGAGGCTGAGGAGGCCATCAAGGGCCTGAATGGCCAGAAGCCATCGGGCGCTGCCGAGCCTATAACGGTCAAATTCGCCAACAACCCCAGCCAGAAGACCAGCCAAGCTCTTCTGTCACAACTCTACCAGTCACCTAATCGCCGATACCCTGGCCCCCTTCACCACCAGGCTCAGAGGTTCAGGTGAGTACAGGGGCAGGAGGACGACAGAGGAGAAGGTGGGGAGGGGAGGCTTTTAGGCAGTTTCGACACAATCGTTACTTATATCTCTATATGTGATGTGTCTAATGCAGAGTTTCCAAACCTTTGGCGCTGACCCAGTATTAAATCTTTACTATTAATTTGACGAGCCCAGGAAATTTCCAGTTGAAGTGGAGTGGCTGGTCCACTGTTCAGTAATTTTGAAAGCAGCCTTGCAGACAGTAGGTTGTCCTTGAACAGCCAGTATGAGCAGCCTGATTTTTTTGTCAGAGACATCGCGTGATGAGCCATTTGGGGTGCGCCTGGTTCCAAAAGTAAAAGTCTTTCTCAGACCATTTCCCAGTCTCATTTAATTAACGTGATTATGTTACATGAGTCACTGTTGGAGCACTATTAAGGACGGACGCAAGATGCTCCAAAGTACAAAAGAGCAACAGCAGCATTATAAAAGACCTTTTTAATGAAAATCCAAAAGGATCCAAATGTGTCCACATAAGAACGCAAGTTTGATGTTATCTACAACCTTGTATGAACTCAAATTAACTCACTTTCAGTTAAACTTCAGGTAAATTTTTGAAACAATTGGAAGCCTGAGACAGCGGGCATCTGCTATAAAGTGATGAAAAGCACAATTTCTTAGAAAGAAAGCTAATTTAAAGTGATAGCTATAACATAACAGCATCATGATCTTGTTGCAGAGTCTTTTGTATCTAATTTGACCAAAAAAATGCATTAAAAGAAAAAGTAATAATAAAATAACAGGATTTCAGAGACTGAAACATACTTCCTAGAACCAGTGGCACCTCCTCCTTCCAGGCTCTTTTTCAGAGATGTTTTAAAGTAGCAAATTGAAAACAAAGTGTAGACATAAGATAATCAACAACATGATTGGGCCATCTGCTCACAAGGTTGGGAATCTCAAGTTGAATGTCATCTGCTTATGTAGAAATTAAGGAAAACAAGTAAAGTATTTACTAGAAAGCTTCACAAACAGCCTTGCTTTGTGTATCGCACAATCTGAAACTAAAATAATTTGATTTAATGTTGACTGATCAGCTATCAGTCTTAAACTTCATACAGATTTTTCTTGGTCAACGTGAAACTCAGTGCATTCAATTTAGGAAACATGTCTACTCCAAACAACAGGCCTGATTTGGAAAACACGCACCAAGTGTCCATCATTATACAAAGTTAGATACCTCATTGGCCATTGCTTTATGTAGCCGTTATATGTCCGTGTGTCCGAGGACTGCAGCCTTTTGCCAAAATGATTGCTTGCAATGCAATCAGGTGTTATAATTATTCGTGCTCTCTGGATCAGGTGTTACCCTACATTTAGAAATTTAGGTGTCATATTTGTGGTTTGACATGTCTGAAAGGGCATGAATTTCATTTCGTGAAATTCAGTTTGCCATGCAGCGAGCAAAGATTAACTTTCCAGATACTCTTATTCATATCAGTCTGCTCAGCTTTTGCGAGTGCTATAAGGCTGACTGCTCTGCTCTGTTTTTAAAATTTTATTTCTTTAATTGTTTTATTAATGAAGTAGGAAGGTATTTTTTTGTTCTACACACTTAAGTCATGATAAGTACATCAAGTCACTTCCTCCATGTCCACAGGCTGGACAGTTACCATTAAACAAACCATACTGCAGATATTGTTAATCTTAAATTAGAATACAATATGAGTAGGTTGTTGCAGTAACATATATGCTAAAGAATTGTGAACACTTGGGCTCTATAGCATTGTGATGCCGTGGTTAGCACTGTTGCCAGAGGGTCAAATCCCTACTGGGGATGCACCAAAAATCAGCCGACCCCTTTTGAGCAAGCACCTGGCAACAGTGGGAATGAAAAACTCCCTTTTAACAGGATGTAACCTCCGACACAACCAGGCTCAGGGAGGGGCGGTCATCTTCCATGACCAGTTGGGTGTGGCGGGTGGAAAACAGGACAAAAAACACACTGTAGAAGAGAGGCAGAGATTAATAATAAAGTTTGAATGCTGTCTCCAGGTCCTTTAGCTTCCTCCCACATTCCAACGACATGCATGGGTTAGACAAGGTGTTTCGAATATTGCTGGGTTTTTACCATGTAAAGCACTTTGAGGCAACTGTTGTTGTGAATTTCTCACTATATAAATAAAACTGAACTAAGCTGATGGACTGGCTCTAGCTCCCTGCGACCTTGAGTTGAATAAGTGGAAGAAGATGAGAAAGAGTCAGAGGTTTCCTGTCTTTGATAAGCTTCATTCTTTTCAACTTTACACACGCTTGAGTAACAGTTGGACATGTTGAATGCGATTCAGTATCGAGTATCATGTTTAATTTCTCACACCTTTAACGAAGCAGATTTTATGAAAACTGGTTCAGAATTAAGTCATTTCTATAGTTTGTTTACTAGCAGATCCTGACTGGTCCAGCATGAGAACTACCCAGACACACATCAAATCACAAACACAATATCTGTGTTTCTATATCTATGGTAACACTTATATTCAGAGAGCATGAGTCACCCCAGTGTCTGTGTTACAACAATGCTGCACTTTCTCTCCTGTGAACAGTCATTTGGCAAAAGCATCCTCTGAACAACAGGTGTGAGCCTTGCACCTGGTGCAGGTGTCCGTAAGTCAGCGAGAGCTCTGCGTGGGTCCACCCAGATCAGAGAGGAACTGTTCATAAGAGACTGTGGGGTTCTGTCATTCACAACTACATGTTTCCCCTCATTTCATCATGCTGCCATCGTGTCGATGCTTCCAGGCATATTCAGGCCTGGGCAAAAACACATATTAGGAATATCTTTTTTTTTTTTTCATAATTTTTGCAAAACAAAAAGATACATTTTTACTGTTAGGTATTGTCCTTTAATTTTACACTCATTCTGCACGATGTTGTCCACTGTTTTGGACCGAAAGCTATCACCCCTACCAGACATGAAAGACATGAAATACTATAAATACTGCATGAGTCTGTGACTGCATTACAAGCTGACATTATTCAAGAGACTGAGGCCTTAAATCCAGTCAGCAGAGGGCCAGTTAAAACAAATCATTACAAAATGAATATCAGGATTTAAATTTTAACCCCATTTCAGCCTCCCAAAATTAATGTTATCTTCATGTCTTTAAAAAATGTTTTTGCCCAGGTCAGTAATCTTAACACCAAGTTAATATACAGTAGTTCGTACACTGTGTGGCATCCTACCCAGTCATATGCTGTCATTAAAGACCCAAACATCATCATATTATGGCACCTAGAGGTAGTTTGAGCGTACTCCTTAAGCTCAAGTTACCTTTCACCTGAGTAACCAATAAGAAAACAGAAACAGCACACTATCATATTATCCAACAAGAATGTTTTAGAACTGAAGACAGAATATGTGCTTACACAATTTCCTCTCTTTCAATAACACTAAGCCGGTCGTGCTGTTTACTCTCCATCAAAGTCAGAGCTTGGAAGGTATTTTTCTTCTGGAGCAGCTTCCCTGGTGTGACACCTGAGCGATGTAGCGTGGCTGTGTGTCTGTGATACGCCAAGCCAATTTACAGGCTCTGCAGGAGAGCTGTCGCTTCTCATCACAACTCACAACCACAGTACACTTCCTTACCGTGTCCCTGTGTTCCTGCTCTCTGCTCCCGAGCCCTTTGCTAAAATCCTTAACACTTAAAAGTTATAAATGGGGTTGATATGTGTGGTTTCCAATTTTTTAACAAAATTTAAGAAGGACTAAGGATGAAAAACTGCATTTATTCAGAACCGATCTCTTGTTTTGCTTACTTCCAACTATTTTTGAAGTTAGACACATTTTATGTGCACCTAGCAACGAGTACTGGAAATAAAATCCACCATAGATGCTAAAGTTGTTTTAGATAGTAAGAATGTTGTTTAGGAGACCCAAGTTTTTAATAAATCGTCTTGGCACAGTACAATCCTGCTGCAGCGATAATTACATCTGTCCTGTGTGAGTAAATCATGTGGGCCTGCCGTAACGCAAGCTAATGTATAATGTGCTCGTACGGTCCCTCTCCAAGACGGCAAACATAATCGACTCAAGCACAATACGCGAAGCCCTAGATCCCCGCTTGCTTCCAATCCTCTGTCGTTAACTAATGGTACTAATTAGCAAATTAGCTTTGTTATATCCAGGGCAGGAGCCAATTTTAATTGAACAGATTTTTGTTTTAAAAAGGAAAACACAAAAACGCCCATTCCACCATTAACATGCATTGACAGACAGCACAAAAGCCCTATTGTTTGCATCCAGCTTGGAGAGGCAGCGTGAAAAGCTGGCAGAGTGTTTGCGTGGCGAGCTTGCATCAGTGTGGATTCGTACATGTTTGAGAGAAAGGAGAGCGAGAGAGTGTGTTAGCAGCAGGTTGTTTTGTTGTGGCCCAACGGCCCATCGGCCAGCAGATGTCTTCATGCTCCCGAGCCTGGAGCGCCTCTCCTCTGAGCATCCTCTCCAATTGACTCATTTACCCACAAAGCAGGCTGCTCGTTCCCTCCCCACGTAATGAGCTAATTACTGTTTTAATGATTCCGTATATCCTTTTCTCCACTTTTGTTCTTTGTTTTAGGGCTGCTTTTGTACTGCTTGGTAATTTTAAGTGAGAACAGTGCTACAGTGCAGACACACCATGAAGCCAAGCAATAAGCAGGTCTATCATTTACCCAGAAGGTTTATGTAAACTGTGAAAAGGTTATGTCATTTACCTCCAATGAGGGGTTTCAATGTAGGTCACCACATTATCAATTTATTTACAAAATTGAGCAGTTCCCTCAGAAGATTATGTCTTGAAATTAATTTGTGAAATTAATATTTTTGAACACAGGTTAGTACAATGTTGCAGTGTTTTTCATTTATAAGAGAATTAGCTACAATTACCTGGCATCCTGGTGTTAAATTGTCCCTGATTAGAAGATTACTAATCTGTTATCTCTAACAGGCAGAGTAAATTTCATTTAACCTGATTAATACAAATAGTACTGTGATTATTATTATTAATATGCAAGATATTTACTACAAGGCTGCACAACTGCTTAAATAATCAGGATGTGTGTGTGTGATATAGGCTATATTTCAAGGCAGTGATAACGTTGCCTTGAAATATAGATTATTGAAATTTAACATTCTTTAAAATGTGCACCGCATAGAAGATTGTGTGCCTGTGTGAGTTCCTGTTTTTGCAAGGAAGCAAGAGAAAAGGAGAAACAACCCTGACAGTCGAGTCAAAGTCAGAGAGTTTGTAGTGTTTTCAAGAGGAACGAGGCGTCGCTGGCCAGCTGTTGCTCAATAAGCCGTTGCCCCTGTCCATTAGGCCAGAGGAGTTAATAAGACATGAGACAGGCCAGACCCAAGTGAGGAATGAAGGTCATTGAGTCACTAAGCAGGCTGCATCCATCCAAGAGGGCCAACGTTTCATACAGCCCACAGGTTTCCAAAGCCCAGCTCCCAGACAGACACACACAGACACACAAAGCCTGCCTGGTTCTTAAACAACACACAAATAGTAGTTCACCCCAGATGACTGCAATGGCTGTAGCTCGCAGGCTGAAATTATTACGAAAGCAGAACATCTCCCCAAACCTAACCCTTTTAGACAGAGCACACCCTCTGACTAACACGCTGCCATTCCACCCGACCTGTTAGCACTTAACAGGTTGACCCCAGCCACAAAGACAGCATTCACAATTTCACGCCTAGTTTAACATTCAGTTGTGCTTTTGTGTTTTCCCATCGCATAGAAACACGACTAATCATCGTCACCTCTCTCGCTCACCATCGTTCAAATGCCAAACCATTACACTGACAGAACTCTTGATCATTTCCTGCCATCTCAAGTGTTCTCTTAATCGAGTTAACACAAATTCAGGAGCGTAGAACCTGAAAATAAATTCTCATTTACCTCCATCGTAATAAACCATCGATGTGGTGTCATAAATTGTATGGATACCCACATGCAAGATTACGATTTGCAATTGTGTAGCATTGCGGCTAGGCTATCATACTAGTATGGCCTAGAGCAATGCTGTGCTAACACACTGCCTGCCCTTAGTGTTATGTGTGCAACTGTAATCCTGAACTGTGACCAGTCAACTGCTGTGTAAGAATTAAATGGTCGCACCTACAGTAATATTAACGTGCCCGATTGCAGGGCTACGATGAGGCCTACGAAGAAGCTCAGTGGGCGACTGAGCGAGTGCAGAGCATACTGATTGTACTGTAGATTCACTGATTAACTGATGATAGCATTTTCTGGTGGGGCTCCTCAGTGTAATGGACCAACTATAGATGGGTTTGTTTGTTCTTGAGTGAGGAGGGCCATGCAGTTCCTGCAGGGACTTAACATTAGTTCCATTGAGTGAGTCGACCATCTGCCCACCATTAACCCCAGAACCCTCCTTCTCTTTACAGGCTGGACAATTTGCTTAATATGGCCTATGGCGTAAAGAGGTAATTAAAAACTTCACCCAATGCCAGATGTCCATGTTGACTCAGTGATTTTTCAATATCCTTTTTTCCTGTTTGTTTTTATTATTTATTTTTTATTATTTTTTTCCTTGCATTTTTGCAATCACTTTGCATTTGCAAATTCGTTCAAGGTCAACTGCATTCTTGGTTCTTTGATTTGTTTGTATGTTTTTCCCCCGTCAGCTTCAGTTGGCTTTAAAACCTTCCCAACCACTCAAAGTGTAAAAAAAAAAAAAAAACCCAATCAGCCTTGTTTTCAGTGGTGATGAATTTGCTTTGTTTTGATTATGAAAGTGCTGGTGTTGTTTGGATTGTTTTGGGTTGTTTCAACAGATTTTGTTCTCTGGTGTAAAACTTCTCATTTCTAGGTGTGTTGGTTTTATTTCTACTGGATTCAGGTTCTCCTGCCTTGTCGCCATAAATCTAGAGCTTGGTCTCCCTTTAGGGTCAAATTTTAAATTTGTCACTGTGAATGTATGTTAGAATCAAACATTTTGTCAGTCAGATACAACCTATGACAAAATGAAAATTTTGCACACATTCTTGGTAGTGCTAATAGAATTCAAGAAAAGTTTAGCTAGGACTTCTGATAAGGCTAGATGAACCTGGATCCCTGCTGGAAACAGGAAATGCTGTTTCACTGCAGACAGTTCCAGCTTTGCTCGGCACTGCTCTGCTCAAACTCCTTTCCTTCGCCTCCATGTTTCATTTTGCTTTCTCACCAGCATAGGTGTTACATAACCCAGAGCAGCAGCCACTTTGGTGATAGATGTTCCATGTGCTGACGGTGGCACCTTGCATGTTGCAAGCACAGGGGGCATCATCAGTCAGTCAGCTTAGAAACTCAAACAGAACCCAAGGTTTAGCTCGAGAGATATTTTCTCTTTGCAAGTTCCTCTAAAAACCTGTAATTTTGCCAAACAAGATCATGTTTTTGCAGAATAACTCTCATAGTGATGCAATATGACATTCAAAGGTTTAACGCTCTCCAGTAAGCACTTTACCCTCAACCCGAGTCTTTACATCATTTTATTAAAAGGTGAAAATAGGTGTCTGATTTAGCGGTCCTGATTGCAAAGCATGTCATCAAGTTGCAAGTGTTTTTCAGTGATCTGGGGCTATTTTTTGAAAGGAAAGAGAAGGAAAGTGTTAAGAGCTGGAAATGGTTTAGCTTTAGAAAGGACAGAATAGATATCTGGTCAGCTACACAGTTGCTATGCAACCCGTGGTCTGGTCTGTAACATTGGTTAGTGCTCGGTCCCACTCTGGTGGGTATGCTTGCATACACGCTTACACCCATACGCACACATACATACAGGCACACTCATTTCCACCTTCACAAATCCAGTGTAAGCTAGCCTTCATTTAGCCAGAAACCTGACGTTGTCCAGCTTAAATTTACAATTGGCATGAAGTTTTTTTAAACATAAGAGAGGCCTGAGTGTGGCTGAGCATGTCAGACAGTGAGGCCTTTTAAGATTCATCCTAAAGGATCCTCTCAACAAGAAAGGGAGGCCACATGATTTGGTGTCTATTATAACCTAGTTTCTTGTTGCAAGAGTCTTGTGGTGGTAGGTAATTAAAAAAAAAAATAGATCAAAATATTGCAGATTTATAACTATGAGTCCATGTCATCTTAATTATACACACTAATTTGATCTAAATCACAAAAGTGTAATTGCTGCAAAGAGCTCCTTACAGTTGATGATCTTGCTAACCTGAGGCAAGTATTAGCATCCGAAACAACTGCAAGCAAACTCTGTATGACCAAAGTCATGCAGGAAGGTCGTAGTGATTGACCACATATAGTCACTGGAAACAGGAGGCTCTGGGCCCCGAGCAGCAAGCAACGCTATCGATCAGTGCCACGAGCTCTGGAGTAGAACAGATCAGAACGCTCTGCAGGAGGGGAGAAGGGGGAGGAATACACTTTGTACCTTAATGCCACTGGGCTGTAAAGTGCTTCCATTTTCCATTTAGTTTGCTCCCTCTTCCCTCCCTCCTTTTCCTTAAGAAAGCAGCCATCTCTGAGACAGCTGCAGCAAAGCGGAAATCTCAATTAAAGCACTCCCAATAATGCCTATAGTCGTTTCTTGAAGAGAGGTGGCATAAGAAATGAACCTTTTTATCTCATTTACCTTTTATTTAAAGGTGGGGGTATTTTTTTCTCCTCTCCCTTTCCTTTGAGCGGAAAGGCAATTAAGTGAAGTCAACTGAGGATTCAAATCTCTTGCATCACAAGAAAAAGGAGAAGATTATGAGGCGAATGAGAACAGATTTAGCAGGCTGGTGCATGATCTTTCATGAATTTCTAGCAACAGTTTAATTCAGCAACTTCCTGCAATTTAACACCTAAAGGAGCCACTCAGGGGCACAAAGAGAAAACCTTCATCTGCATCTCCTTCAGCAGAAATACAGCGTAGCGCACACAGCGCCGTCATCATTCCAGACAGGAGACTTTTCAGAGCCAAAGAGTTCTTGGAGGATTTAGTGGCAGCTTAGCAAACGAATGCAGACTGCCCTGACATATTTGCACATACGTTCGTACGGAGTACTTGCATGTTTATCTGATATGGTGTGGTTTGGCTTTGAGATCAGTGGCTTGACCAGACTATTTGGCTGTAGAGAGTAGCGTGCGATTCAGGCGAGGATCATGGCAGGACCTTTTTGTTTTTCACTGGTTAGGGCGATTTCATGTACAGCAGATGCAGACGCTGTTTCTCTGTGTGCCTCAACTTGCCCAGTTAACGCTTGCCGTTTTCTCTTCTTCCTCCCAACTGTGCCTCTCCTCTCAGGTTTTCACCTATCACTATTGACAGCATGACCAGCCTGGTTGGCATGAACATCCCCGGGCACACGGGCACCGGTTGGTGCATCTTTGTGTACAACCTGTCCCCAGATTCAGACGAAAGCGTGCTCTGGCAGCTGTTTGGGCCATTCGGCGCAGTCAACAACGTCAAGGTGATCCGTGACTTCAACACCAACAAGTGCAAAGGCTTCGGCTTCGTCACCATGACAAATTACGACGAGGCGGCAATGGCCATCGCCAGTCTCAACGGCTACAGGTTGGGCGACCGCGTCTTGCAAGTCTCCTTCAAGACTAACAAGACACACAAGTCCTGAACTTTACCAGGTAGAAGCAGTTGCCCCGCGACTTTGTCTGCTCCAAAATTGCCCCCAACCCCCCCTATCCCCACCTCCACCCATCCCTTAGCCCCTTCAGTCACTACCACTACCACTACCACCCTACTACAGCCATCCAACACAGCAAACTCCAACCGGAACATAAAGCAACCAACAAACCATCAAGCAAATTGAACTAGAAATGGCTTATATTATAACTTTGGACCTATAAGCCAACGTTGCCTAAGTATTACAAAAATGAAATGATGAAAACGTTCACGAGTTTTGGGAAGCTCCTGCGATAATGCAGGCTTCTCTTTGTTGTATATTCTTTCCGTTTCTTGTGGTTGTTATAATGTTTTTTCTCTTCTGTGTAAAACAGTAGCAAATCCCTGTATCCCCTTATTTCAGAGAAGAGAACGTCCTCTTTCGATTGGAGCCTTTTCTCTGTCTTGATTCAGGATTTGTTTTTCTTTTGTAAATCCGGATCCACTGTCGGTAGTATTATATACCTCCCCGTCTAGTAAACGGGGAGGCGGCTCTTTTTTAAATTGGTGAACCATTCATTCATTTTTAGCGTGTATTTCAAAGCGTCCCCTTACCGATTACAAACGGGATTCCACGGGATCCCGGTAACTCTGATGTAGAAAAAAAATGAATTTCTAACATTGTTTTTGTTTTGTATCGCAAACAAAACATAATGTCTTTCCTCACTTGGGGTTCAGGGAGATGGGGCAAGGGAGGGGATGGGTTAGCTTTGCTGATGACACGTTCAGTAATTTAAGAAAAAAAATAACACTGTTGCCAAAGAGAAGATCTCTTTGCTTGGAAAAAAAAAAAAACACGTTTAGAAAAAGATAAAAATAAATAGAAAGATCTATTTTTATAAATGATAATTAAAATAATAATTATTGAAGAATTTTTACAAGAATCTGGATTTGAAAAAAAGAGAAAAATATTTTGACTGGCTAACTAGGGGGGGCCGGGGCGGGTGGGAGGGGGCACCACCTTGTCTTGTCGTTCTGCCGTGGTACTTTATAGGATCGGAGGTTGTTTTTTGGGGAATCCAAGTTGGTAGCGATTTTGTAGATGGAAGGTTTTGTGAACAAAGGATGCAATCTGAGGCAGGTGATTTTGGTAATTTTTCACACATGTACTAGTGCATAATTATTCAGCGATACCCAAAAGGGAAGGGAGAGGGGTCTTTCCGAGGCCTAACCATCCTCACAGTCCAGAGCCCAAAGCAAGAAGACCCTTTGTCCGCTTGTTTTCCTGTTTTTGTCATCAGTCGATATGGGATCTCAGTAAATAGATATATACACATCTATCCATTTAGAAGCATACTATACATTATCTATATCATTTTCTTCGCTCTTACATTTGAGAAGAACTTCCTTTTAGCGATCAACAGTAGGTGCTATACTACATTATTCACATATCTTAAATATCCAAGTTTGTTGTTCTATGTGTTGTTTAAAGAAAAAAAACTACTTTGATGTTGGCATTGAATTGAGCTGCTGTTCTTTGTTTAATATTTGTTTAATGTTGGCCCAGAAATCTGGTGAGACTATTTCTTTACTGAATAATCAGATTTGACTAAATCGGGCCTTGTAAGAATCACTGAACAAATTTTTTATTTGTTTTTGGGGTTTTTTTTTTTTGTTGGTTTGCTGACTTTTAGGTTACTTGCTGAGCGTGAAACGTTTGTCAAAACTTAATGATGATTAGCTAGTTCCGTTAGTCTAGATATTTGTTTCCTTAAAAAGGATCTATGACAACTGTGTCTTTATTTGCTGTGTACAAATAGATGATATATATAAATATATATATAGTCTACATTTGTTTTACAATATCTACTGTACTATCTGAGTTGTCACTGTTCTTTTGTTCGTTTGAGCTTGTCTTTTTCATATGACAATTTATTATGAAGTGGTGGTTCAGTTACTTAGAAAAACTTGTGAGGAAACTGTTCAATTGTTGTCATGTTGCTTGTGGAGAAAAAAAATTGGATTAACTTTTAGTTAACTACCGCGGCAAAAGAAACCGAACAAAAGCTTAGAGTATAAACGTGTTGGTTTAACGGTTTGTTTCCTTATCTATTTTTGAAACTATTTATTTTTCTATTTATTTGTATTTATTCTATATTTATGATTCATTAATTTATCTGTGTATTTATGTATTTATTTGTTTGTTTCATTGTCTGTGTATTTGCGTGATTCTGGTACAGGGAGGGGGGCGTTTCTGAGCAAAAGGGAACAAAGCGACTAGTGGAGAGGCTCTTCCAGTAGTCCACTGCACTGAGAGAACTTTTAGTACGTTTGTGCTTTGTACCAATATATCAAAATTACAATATAAAAAAAATCTAAAAGTCAAGAAAACTGAAAAAAATGTCTGGAGGGTCGGGGGACGCTCTTCCCTTATTACTAGAAACAGTTACTCGCTATGCATAACCTAGTTAATAGTTCAATTTGCTATTGCTTTTTTCTTGTCTTGTTAAAATGAAATCTTTAGATCTTTTTCAATAAAGTTTAGTCTTAATAGAATGTTATAAACAGTCGTTCTGGTTCAATATAACCTGTGATAAGTTTGTGTAGTTCTAATAAGCCACTCCGTCCACACCCTCCCTCCACTTACTACCGCTTTGTGATGAAACCTTATGCAAAAATGTGGGTCTGAAAGCATAGTTTTCCGTTTCGGTTAGCATTTTGTATGACATTCAGCTCTCGGAGGCTCGTGCAGACAGACATTGAAAATTGTTGTTCGAGGGTCATTCATTGCACTGGACTAAATCGGTCAAAGAGTCAGAACTTATTTTTAAGAATGTTCATCATGTTTTCAAATGACGTACCAACAAATCTTTGAGAAATTGTTACCATTGCACACCAACTGTTCTTTCCAGCAGTTGTTGCTATACATAAGAAGTACTCTGGAGGTATAAAAAGGGATTGTACCGATTCTATATTTTATATACTCTAATATGATATATATTATATATTTTGAAAGGTGAAAGGTAGGGGGAATGGTTCCAGAAGTATAAATATAAGAAATTGGATTTTTTTTGTTTGTTGTTAAGACTTGAAAACATGAAGGAGGTGTGCGGAGAGCATTTGAAACACTCAGACGCATGCTCGCATAGTACATCCTCCTCTCTCACACCTCACTCATCTGACAAGCTGGGTCATTTAATATCATTACCATTATCCAACCGTCATCTTTGCCATCCTGTTGCTTAATGTTCGAAAATGTCATGACAGCAACAAACCAACCAACCAACCAGACCCCTTCATGCTCCCCGCTGCAGTCGGGAGCTTGAATTATGCAACGACCCCAGTAGAATGTTCTGATGTGTGAACTTATTTCCTACACTGTATGACTTTTGAACTCTTACGATGCGTGCCTGTGTTCCGCCTAAACCCTGTGTGCACGTGTGTGTGTGTGTGTGTATGCGTGCGCGCGCGCATTTGTGCATGTTTGTATGCATGTTCCTTTAAGTAACTGTGTGCGTGTTGTGTGTTTGTCCACATGCGTTTGTTAGTGTGGAGTACATCCATGTGTGTATGTACAGTATATACATATGTTCAGTGTCTGTGCTTTCCTCTTTGTTTTTTTTGTTTTTTAATTAATTTCTTGGCACATATATACAGATGTGTGTGTCCCTGAGTGCACCTGCGCGCGCAAGTGACTGAGACAGCTCAGAATGTGTGTGCGAATGTGTGTGCATGTCAGGGTGTTTGAAACATGGGGCTGCGTCACCTCGCTCTATGCCCAACCCCTATGGCTCACACCATCCCCTGTAGCGCCTTATAGTGGCAGCCTGCCAGTAGGAACAACGCAGCCAGTAGTGGAGGAGGGAAGGTGAACAGAGGAACTAGGCTCTTCTTGTCAGTTTTCATTTTCCTCCTGAGACGTGTTTGTTTACTATCTGAAAAATCTATAAATGAAATCTTTAAAGACAAAAAAGACGAAAAAATGTTCACGGGGCCCCATGACCGCGGCTCTCTCTACTCTCTCCTGCTTATGTTATTACTTAACAATTATCAATGATGATTATTATGATTATTATTGCTATTATTCTTAGTATTCTTATTCTTATTATTAATCCAATTACTGCGATGAATGACTTCATGTTATCCTTGCTAGTTTAGGTCATTTCTGAAACTGGAAACAAAATAAAAATCTTGCTGTAAATGTTTGTTTTTTCTTTTTCATAAAACTGTTGTGTTTGAATTATTTGTACTTTTGAATGTTGGGACAATAAAATGAGGTGTTAAGAGCTCTGATGTTTCATTTTTCCTCACATCCCTTCAAGGTAGGAAAACTTTTTGTGATTAACACTGTGAAAGGGTCTAACTTGAGGATGAGATGTCCAAGTGTCATCTGTGACTAAAAACTAGAAATAATCGTTAAAAACGAATAAGTGAGCTAGGTCAAATCAACTCTAGCTTTCATGCAGGACTCAAACCCCAGTCTTCTGCGTGAAAGTCCTTTGTTGCTCTTTTTACTAGGCCTCCTCCATCTGTCACAGTGTATAAAGTTCATCATCCTATATCATCTTAAATGTAAAAATAATTTACTCGTTTCAATTGTTTGTATCTGTTGATCAACCTTTGTTTTTGTGGTTAGAGCTACATTTATTATGCATTTTAATAGTCAGTGTTCTTATTCAAACATTTAAATTAGTGTGTAATGTAGATCTTTTGGCAAAATCTACTTTGCATTGCTTAGCCTGACAGTGAAGTTTTTAAATGTACCAATTTGCTGCTTTGAACAGCTCTTTATCCTTGAAAACTAATTTTTATCTTGGGTTCAGGGAAACTTGAGGCCATTTGCATTTTCTTTAACTGAATAAGTAACTCCCAAAAAGATTGTTTCTGCATGTTCAGTGGGAGAAATGTTTCATCACTCATTAGTCTCTGCTGACTGCAGGTTTCTCCAGCCTTATAAACAGCACCTTTACACAATGACTGAAACTAGCACCACTGGCAAACAACGTGAGGTCAGTTTCTTGATCATTAATATGTAAATTGTCATATCATTGATCAACAACCACTGATCTATGACAACTGAGACAAATCCTAGTAGTGTAACTGATCACAGAAACAGCAATTCCAAACCCAATACTTATGAGCCCCTGAAACAGAAGTGGTAACAGGAAGAGGGAAGAGGGTGATAGATTGTCTGAAGCAGTTAGAACAGGACAATACTGACCAGACTTCATACCACAGGCTATACACCCAGGGGAATCTACACCAAGTCTATATGGTTTACCAAAGATATAAACACGGCCAACGTTTAAGACCAAATGTCTGTATGATCAACTCAGTCACCTATAACATCTCAAAGTTTCAGGCTTCAATCCTCAACCCCAACACGACATCCAGAACACTTTGGATTTTGTTGAGAAGGTGAGAGATGTCATGATGGACGCAGATGAACTACATCGCTACAAGCAGAAACACGGGTGTGCCACGGGTTCCCCAAACTTGTACATGGAAGAAGTGGAATAGAGGGCTTTTCTATCCTACCCTGGAATACCACTAAGTCATTGGTTCAGGTTTGCAGATGACACCTGGGTGAAAGTGAAATCTCAGGATGTACCACAATTCACTGATCACATTAACTCGATGGGCCAACACATCAAATTCACCAGGGAGGATATGAAAAGTGTCAAGTTAGCCTTCTTAGACTGTGAGATTTCCATCAGTAATGGGGGACATCTAAAAGCTGATGTGTACTGGAAACCTACACATACGGATCAGAATTTAAGGTTTGACTCTCATCATCCACTGAAGCATAAACTGAATGTCATCAGGACTCTATAACATAGAGCGAACACTATCCCCACAGACACAGCGGCCAGGTAAGCAGAAGAA